TAAAAAGCAATAATATTCCGAGTAGAGGTTCTAATAATGGCATAAATCAAGTTACAGAGGGATGGTGGTTCTTACAATAAAAGGCCTATTGACTAGCAGTTTGTCTATTATAGTGTAGAGGTTAGGAACCTCAAGATGTAGAGGCTCAGCTATGCCATTTACTGTTCTTAAGTCCTGGAGCGAATTCCATCTACCACTGGGTTGTTTTACAACTTGGAAGTCCGCATGCAAGGCAGAGGTGAAGTAAGGAACCGCTTATGAGGTTTTCTGTCCATTCCAACAACTAAAACATAGTAAGAAGAGTTGGGACCTCAGAAGGCGTTTAGAACCAATTAGAAGGCTCTGTGTCCAGGAGAAAATTAATATACTTACTAGTAATGTTAATGCTCACCCACAGTCTTCTGGGAGGATCTAAATCATTGAAGTGTCCTCCTTTGTTTCCAGCTGGGAGCTGGGGCCTGTCAGTCCTGTCTGCCATGAGGACCTGATGTGGGCCACCCTTGGCCAAGTGTCCTTCAGATCCACACATATTGAAGTCTGGGAGCTTCCTCTCTACTCCCTTGCCTATCTGTGGCTCTTGTCTGTGACACTGTCTACTGAAGTGGCCCAGCTTTCCACAGTGGAAGCAATTCTGATCTCCTTTATTACTTTTAGGTGGCACTGTATATGAGTAAGACTTCCTTTTCCTGAAACAGGCCCTAAACTGGCAGCAATAACTGCCCCAATAATTGTGGCCATTCTCTGATCTTTTCTCTTCCCTCTAGATCCCAGTTGTTAAAAGAGGGGAAAATTTAAACAAATGTATAACAAATAATTTTGAACATTATAATCTTTTAAGCTTAAGGCTAGAAATATTAACAATATCATAATTTCCAATCCAGAGATACATGTTCCAAAGCAGTTCCTATTTTCCATAAATGGTTTTGGTAAGAGGAATGTTGTAAATGTGGATACATTTCCACTATTTTTCCTCCATACCACAATATAGTGTTATTCGCATGAGCAGTTATAAATCCATTGCCATCCTTACTCTAACTTAATTATTTTTTTTAAAATTTAAATTTGTTATTAATTTCAGTGAAAATTTACAGAGGCTTTGAATTTCCATTCATTCATTGTTGCACATTTGTCCCCTCCCATGGATCTTCCCTCCCCCAGAACACTACCCTCTTGAAGAAGTAAAAGAAAAATTCTTTCATTGTTTTACAAACCCTCCCCCAGGACCACTCCACCATGTAGCCATCGCTCTAGACTCCTGTCATGACAGAAATACCTAATCACATATCTCTTTTAAACAGTTTTCTCCCTCCTCTGTTTCAGTGCAGTATACGTTATTGAACCCATCTTACTCAGTCTTTCCCCAACCCCAAGGTCAGTCCTGTTTTACAGCAGTGGCACCATGCAATATTTGTCCTTTTGTGACTGGGATATTTCACTCAGCATAATGTTCTGCAGAGTCAACCATTTTGAATAATATTGCGTGAGTTCCTTGTTTTTCAATGCAGCATAGTATTCCATTGTGTGAATATACCACAGCTTCTCTATCCATTCGTTTGTTGATGGGCACTTAGGTTGTTTCCAGCTCCTTGCTATTGTGAACAAAGCTGCAATAAACATGGGTGTGCATATATCTGCTTAGATGTCAGTTATGGTCTCTTCGGGGTATAATCCTAGTAGTGGAATTGCTGGGTCAAATGGTATCTCTATTTGTAACTTTTTGAGACAGCGCCATACTGTCTTCCACAGGGGTTGCACCATTTTACACTCCCACCAACAATGAATAAGGGTTCCAGTTTCTCCACAACCTCGCCAGCATTTGCAGCAAATGTTTCAAGCCCTTTTCACTTTCCATAAGCTAGGTTGGGTCATCTCGTAGTATAGTCATTGATGAGTTTTCCTCCAATCTTGATGCCACATTCTTCTTCATATAGTTCAGCTTCTCAAATGGATTATTACATACATATTGAATAAGTATGGAGGAAGGATACAATCCTGACACATATATGTTTCAATTTAAAATACTCTGTTATCTTCTTATTCTGTTCTAACAGCTGCTTTTTGGCCTGTGTACAGGTTTGTATGAGCACAGTTGCCATTTCTAGGAGACTAGATGTGCAAATTCAGCGTGCCAGTGCTGGAGGAAGGCCTGCTCTGTTATTCCCAGCCCTTATTTCCTTCTGCATCTGTAGACCTGTGTCTCCTTGAAGAACTCCATGTATCCTGGCCTTTCAGTTGTCAAAGGGCTTCCTTGCATACACACCTGAGCTTGAAAAGATATCCCCACTCTTAGTAATTCTTCTTTGTCTGGAGTCCCCATTCTCAACTTATTTTCTTCTCCTTTTATCTCTTCTGAGATAAAAGAAGTTATAGACTACATACTAGGGAAATTTCCCTTATTCTAAATCAGGGTGTGATGCAATTATGGAGTGTTATACCCCATATTTAGTCCTTTTTACAACTATTTGGTTCATAGTTGTAGATCACAGAGGAGGGTTCATTACATATCTTGCACTTTATTCCATTATATATGTGCATTTGGGGGGGACACAATTCAATCCATGACAACACTTAAATTACTTGAGTTTCAAAGTGGTAGAGACTTCCAACGTACCGCACACATCTGGAAAAATGTTAGGAGTGCCCCATGAGAGATAAGTGAATTGGAGGGAGATACAGTGGTGCAAAATACAGAAATTACCCTAACTCTTGAAGATTTTACATAATGGTCTGATCTTTGGAACCTAACTTTGTTGATAAGTGAAGAGTGGATATTCATAGAGAAAGAAAAAGTGAAAGAGAAATAATACAATTACCGTCATTAACAAACTATTTAATTGAAAAAGATACTTTCTTAAAAACACCATAAAATTAAAAACTGATATTCATAATTGTTGTTATATACTATTGAGTCAGAACCGACTTACAGCTGATCTCCAGTGAGTTTTCAGAGGCAGTAAGTAAATCACACAGGAAGAGATTGCCCATCCTTCTCTCACAGAGAAGCTGGTGGGTTTGAACAGTGTTCCTTTGGGTTGGAAGTTCAACTTCTTATCACTAAGCTACTGGAGATTCCTGGTATAAATAATAAGAAATATAAATAAAATAAGCAAGCAAAAATCAGTAGCTTACATATTTATCAGCAATAATTACTTTGCAAATAAATGAGAGGAGAAAATCAGAATCTCATGTACAGCTTCAATAACAGTATTAACTACTTAACCAACACTAAGAAAAGGCAAACTAATATAAAAAGATACATTGTTAGAGCCTTAACAAACGAAGCTACAACTCTTTATCAATAGAATAAATGGAGAAACACACTATATGTAAGCATGGGAAAGATTAAAAGGACAATTATTTCAATTTTCTCTTAAATTAGGCTATAAAGATGTTGTTGTTGTTGTTATTGCGTGCCATTGAGTCATCTGTGATTCATAGTGACATATGTATAGTGACTTGTATATGTACAATAGCTCTGAAGACTTCCCTGTCCTGAGCCAGTCTCACTGACTGTGACATACCTATCCCATTGCCCCAGTTACTGTACCAATTCATCTCATCCAGTGTCTTCCTCTCCTGCACTGTCCCTCCCTCCACCCTTACAAGCATGATGTTTTTCTCCAAGGAATGGTCACTCCTGACCACACACTCAATATATGTAAGACAGAGCTTCAAAATCCTAACCTCCAAGGAGAAACTTGGTTTCACCCTCTACAAGACAGACCTATTTGTTTTCTTGGCAGTCTATGGTATGTTCAAGACTCTTCTCCAGCACCACAATTCAAAGGCTTCAGTTCCTCTGTCATCTTTAGTCATTGTCCAGATCTCTGATGCATAGCAAGTAGTTGTGAAAAACATGGCCTCAATCAGGCTCACCTTAGTCTCTAGACTGACATTGTTGATTATCAGGACTCTGGAAAAGTCCTTGACAACAGATTTTCCCCAATGCAATCAGTCTTTTGATTTCCTAACTTCTGGTACCAAGAGTGTTCACTGTGGAGCCAAGCAAGCTGTAACTGTTAACAACCTCAATCTATTCTCCACCCATCATGGTGCTGCTAATTAATGGGCCCAGTAAGTGAGAATCTTTGTCTTCTTGATGTTGAGCTTCAATCTATATTGAAGACTACAGTCCTTTATTTTCTGCAGCAAGCACATCAGGTCCTCATCAGTAAGCAAAGTTGTGTCATTTGCATAACATAGGCTGTTGATGAGTCTTCCTCCAATCCTGATGCCACATTGCTCCTGATAAAGACCAGCCTCTCTGAATGGTTCGTTCTGCATATAGATTGAAAAGGTATAAAGGTATGGAGACAGAATGCATCCCCAATGTACTCCCTTCCTGATTTTGAACCATGCAGTGTTTTCCTGCTCCATTCTTTTCCCCCCTCTTCTTTGTTTGTGGTTTTATTTGGATTTCTGTTCATTCATTGTTGCACTTTTCTCTCTGACCACGCCTCCCACCCCAGTTCGTTCTTCTTTTTGAAAAGTAAAAGACAAATTTTTTCATTATTATGCAATCCCTCCTCCCAAGTCCACTCCACTATGCAGCCTTCATTCTGGACTCCTGTCACGAAAATTATTAGGTTGTTTACCTTTATCATTTTGTGGTGCTTGAGTATTTTATAAATTCTAGATATAAGTCCCTTATCTGACATTTCATTACCAAATACTTTTTCCCAGTCTGTGGCTTCCCTTTTTACCCTATTGGAGATGTTTTTAGATTTGCATAGGGATTTGATTCTTAGAAGGTCCCATTAATCTATTTTATCCTCTCCTGTTTGTAGATTTTTCAGGATGCTTGCAAGACTGTTTCTGTTGTGGATTAAGACTTCTAGAGTTCTTCCAAGCTTTTCTCTAATGAAGTTTATAGTCCTTAATTTTAGTCCTAGGTCCATGATCCACCTTGAGTTGTTTTTTGTGTATGGAGTGAGGTGTGGATCTTGCTTGAGTTTTCTGCAGATAGTTTTCTAATTTTACCAACACCATTTGTTTAAAAGGCTGTCATTTCTCCACTTAACTGATTTCATCTCCTCGTCAAAAATGAGTTGACCATAGCTAGATAGGATTTTTAAAATTGCTTTTTAATGAAAGTTTATAGAAAATATAGATTTCCATTTATTGATTGTTGCACATTTTCCTCCCTACCTCCCTGATTCAAGCATAGGTTTCACATAAACACAATCTGGTGTTCTGAGATTCCCATTCTCCTCAAGGTTAACCACAGTTTTTTGTGATCGACACAATCAAATGCCTTTGCAAAGTCTATGAAACACAGATAGATATCAGTCTGGTACACTGCTTTTTGCCAAGATTCATCTGACACTGGTGATAACATCTCTAGTGCCATGGCCTCTCCTAAACCCAGCTTGTATTGTTGGCGGTTCTCTGTCAATGTACTGTTCTAGTTGTTTCTGGATAATCTTCTGCAGGATTTTGCTAGTGTGTGATATTAGTGATATTGTTTGATAATTTCCACATTCTGGCAGATCACCTTTTTTTGGAATAGGAATAAATCTGGGTCTCTTCCAGGTAGTTGTCCTCCAGATTCCTTGGCACAACCTGGTGAGCACATCAAGGGGAAAATCTGTTTGTTGAAATATGTCAATTGGTATTCCATCAATTCAAGATATCCTGTGCAAAATCCCAATAGAATTTGATGATAAGGGAACTTTTTTTTAAAAGGGGGAGGAAAGAATAATACTATACTATTTATTATTGTTGTGTTTTTTTGTTGGTTTTTGTTAATCATTGTTGTTTTAAGTTGCCATGGGTCAGTTCTGACTCATAACAAACCTGTACATGTTGTTGATTGCACAACTCATGGTGACTCTATAAACAAAAGACCTGAGGCATTTCTATAACTATCATTGTTTCTCCAAGTATATAGAGTTTCCAGAGGCATGTGGTTTAGGAAGTGGATGACGCTCCTGTTTCCAAATCTGTCTTAAACTGCACATTCCACCGAACACTGTCCACCATGGGCAAACATTGGCATTAGAGACCCCAGTGGAACAAGGTTCAGCATCACAGCAAACCCAGATTACCTCAGTACAGCAAATTGACAAGAGTGCTGTACAACTTAGAAGAATGTTCTTAAAAAAGATAATAACAAGAGATTAAGATATAATCCCTTGAAAAGCAAAAGACAAACTTCTTCATTGGTACACAATCCCCTCTTGTCTTTTGCTTTTCAAGGAGAGAAGCAAACTGGGGGT